TGAGCCCCTATCCAAAGTTCTTCAGGCACTCTGTCCACCAAACCTAGTTCCTTAAATCTGTTCTTCCACTATGTATGGAAGATATTTTCTGCTTCTAGGAATGCATGCATACATGGCCAAACATACCTGCACCATTTCCTTCCATTTTGTGGACATGGGAGGCTTATTTCTGGGGTAGGAAATGTTCAGAAATTCTCAGTAAGGAGATAAAAGTGCAGAAGCATATGGGGGGAGGTGAGGTTCTTCATCTTGTATTTATGAAAACCACAATTTTGTTCCATCTATAATTAAGCATTTTTGTATCTACACTCATTTTAATTGCCAGTACAACAGTAGAAACTAAACTGATCCATGGAACAGATTATAGTACGTTCTTAGATGTTTTGCTTTGCTCACCTTCAAAAGACCTTGTGGAAGAATCTATAACACAAATCAATTGTCTGTTAACATTGCACAGGCAGTCATGGATGCCTCCTCCAGTCTCAAGTCCAAAGGTTGCCATGCAGGATGTAGAACAACAAAAAAGGTAAGTAGAATGTTATCAACGTTTACACAGCCACAAATACACACTTCATAATACTTTACACTTCTTTGGAAATGTTTTTTACATTTGGAATTAATTCAGGGGTTCTTTTCTTTGTACAGGCATTCCTGGGGCCAACCAAATGCAGCTGTCAATAATAAATCGTAAGAATGAACACAATGTGCCTTTGCACGATTCTCTTGTAGAGCAAGATTTATGGTTACTTGACACATTATATTCTGAATTGTTTATGTTTTGTTCTTGAGCTTTTGTGTAAAAATATGAGGCCTGGATGGAACAAATTCATGCTTGTTGGAAAAACCTAGAAAGATCTGGAGGGTTGGAAGCTCCTCATCCAGAGATTGCCTAGAATTCCTCTTTCACTGGGGAAGAAAGGGGAGAGTAGACCTTACCATTTTATACCCTTAAATAGCTTCTCAATTATTTTTATTATAGTTGTCTTATAGATGTTTCTCACTCACCACCAGCCAACCAACCATAAAGGCAGTTAGTTATGTCAGTTTGAGAAACTTGGATATTAGTCCTGATATCTTTGTTCCATGTAAGTGTCATTTGCATTAATTTACAGATAATCAGCAGGAGATAACCACAAGAGATGCAATTAAAGTGCATTCAGCTATCTCTCAAGGGATGCCAACACTGTGATACATCATTTCTGTACATATGTGCAGAGCCTGGACAAGTTTTTAAAACTACAGTACTGCTTCCAGAATCCCCCAGCTAGTCAAGCTCTGAATGTGGCCATCAGCTGCTATACAAGATCAGAAAAGATAGCTGTTGCCTTACACCAGTTTTTGTGCTATTTCTGCTGCTTTTGTGCACAGGAAATCCAGGTCAATTGTGCCATTGTTGTTCAATTTGTGTATAAAATTACTTCAAGTTATCTTGAGCTGACATGTAACTGAAATCCATTATCTAGCATTTCTAATTGGAGGCTGATTTTTTCTTTCTTTCTGCAGAGTTTCCACTGCTTCAGATAAATCAGGAGTGCCAAAGATGTATGTATTGTATTGCATTGTGTGTTGATAGACACTAAAAATTTGTACAGGCCTGCTTCTCTTATTTATTTATACAGTTTTTTTCAGAATCAGTTACTGCATGGGAAACATGAAAATGAAAAAAAATTAATCAAGACAGTGACTATTACACTCTTGAATGGGGTGGACGACTGGGGACTTCCATATGTAGTCGAATAGCAAAAACTATCATCCCTTACCATTAGCTATGCTGGCTAGGACATGTACATTTTACTGTCCAGCATTATGTATAGGGCCAACTGTTTTCCATTTCTGATCTGGAGAAAACAGGCCTGATATCTACAGAATGTGGTTGCTGCATGAATCTTGTTACCATCCTATATCCACTTACAAGAGAGTAAGCATCACTGAACTCAGTGGCCTCAATCTAATAGCTGGTCGCCAAATGCAGCAGATCCATTGAAACAGTGATTGATTTAAAACATTAGCTGGCAGTTGGAATTGGATTTCCAGAGTGTAACCTACTTCTGACATGCATACAATCGCACCGCTTATAGATAGCCTTCTGTTTCACTGGTCACACCATCAATGGCTTTTAGAGCAAGGATAGCATTTGAAAGTGAGAATTTGATACGAGACTGTAATTGTTTTCATCACTAAGGTGATAATTTTAAGGATGTTCCACTAAAACACCTTAGATCGAAGTGCCAGACTTTACTTGGATAAATCAGGGTTCAAAATTTCTTGCAGCTGTGAAACCCACTTGGCTATGAATGTTTTTCTCTTCTTCTTACCACACAAGTTTGAGACGAAAGCAAGCATAGCCTATTTTCACATGTACATTGTCCTCAGATGCAAGGAGAAAGTGCCAGACTTCACTTGGATAAATCAGGGTTCAAAATTTGGCTATGAATGTCTTTCTCTTCTTCCTACCACACAAGTTTGAGACGAAAGCAAGCATAGCCTATTTTCACATGTACATTGTCCTCAGATGCAAGGAGATAGTGGGGGGAATAGTGTGATAAATACATTAAAAATACATAAACACATAAAAATGTGACAGCTTATTTTCTCCGTGTGTGTTTTAGTGATGGTCTAATTTATTAACTACAGGCAAAATGTGCCTGGTAAAATTTCCACTGGGGGATATTTGAACTGTGCCTAAGAATTCTATATATTTTTGAGCTTCAGAGCAGATTTCTGATCTTTATAATTTCCTTAGGTCTTATTAATGTTTTCTACTGAAATAATTTTAAATATATATATGGCATGGAAATGACATTAAAAGTCACGTCACTAAAGATTAAAAACCGCTTAATTAACTTTCTAAAAAAGAAAGAAGTAAGTGTATACTAAAACCATGGAGAGGGTACTCTTCCTGAAAAAGGCCATTCTGGCCCTGTCAGCTTAATTCTGTGAATGTCTACTTGTACATTCCACTGTGTTCAATAGGGCCTTTTTCCAAGTAAGAATACTTATGTAATTTGCCATCTGTCTGTCTGTCTGTCTGTCTGTCTTTGCATGTTGCCCCCCCCCCCACACACACAGGAACACTTCTATATTTCCTTATAACAGATATCAAAGTACCAGCATTATTTCCTTATAATAGATAAATACTGCACTAGTTTTGTAGGAAATAAACCCTCCATTTTGTTCTTCAGGACTGTGTATTCCTCAGAACCTGTTGCACCTCCAAAGTCCAATGCTACTGGGAATGATCGACCTGCAACCAGGTAACACAAACGAATGCAGTGATCGTTGGCACACATTATGAAGCAGCACTGAAAGCTCCATTGAGTTCAGCTGGGGATATATAAGCAGAAGCTGTGCCATAACACTTCTAGTATGCTTTATGTATACCATATTATTTATAGTCCAGGAATCTAACCAAAACAACACATGCTGTACAAATACTTACAGCAAAACCCTGACAGGTGCTTCTTATAAGCAAAGCAGTTTTGGGGAAGAGGTGATTTGCAAAAGAGAAGTGGCAGTGGAGAGGACGTGCACACCGTCTGCCTATCTTTTTTTTCCCCATGAGGCATTTGGGGAGGTAAAATAAAGGGGGGGGGGAAATGGGCTGATGATAAGACTTGGCAAGAAATAGACTCCAAACAGTTGTAGGCACCTTCTCTTGGCATTAGTTTTAGAAAACAACAAGACTCTATGGTTCTGTTAGAAAGGACAATGTTTTTACACAGTGTCTACAGGAAGAAAAAGTAAAAATGTGTGCAAATATAACTGCTGAAAGATGTAGGGAAGATTCAGAGCAGGATCCAATTAGGTATTTGTTCCACTGGATGGCTCATCATAGAAGACGCCATTTTCCCACCTCTGTGCTGTTTCCATGCACCTTCAGTATTTCTTCCGAAAACCTTACTAGTGCCCTCCTGCCCTGGTCAGACTTACAGGTGGTACAGAAGGCTGGGGGAGGGGGGGCAAAGAAGGAGAATATCTTGTTAAAGGTAATGACTAGATAGGGAAATCACCTCTTCCTGGGTCTGCTGGTGGGGAGAAGCCACACCAGCAGACCAGTTCAAATACCCTCTTGGTTCCTGGCCACAGAAAATATTAACCCTATTTAGATGCTTTGCCTGAACAAAAATTCCAACCAAGGTGGGTGAGGGAGTGGAGCTCTGTGAGCTCCCAAATAGGCCAACTTTGCCCCCTCCTTTCCTTATCATCCCATGCTTTTCAGTGATAAACTATAAGACTGGTGGGTCTGATGTCAGTATCTGGTAGAAAACATTAAAAAATCCTCCCCAGCAGGCAGGGATGGCAATATAGAAAGACTGGTTGGTATGAACCAGCATAATGGTAGCAATTTAGACTCAGATTTAGGTGATAGAAACACATGTCCCTTTTGAACCATGAAATGTATTTGGTGCACTTGGGCAAGGGCACTCTTTCTCTCAGTCTAGCCTATACCAGAGAGCTGACATGAGAGTAAAGTGGGAAGGAGGAGAGCTGTGTACTCCCCCCTGAGCTCTTTAGAGGAAAGGGGGGGGGAATGAACATAACTAATAAATTAGCATAACTAATAAATAGATGGCATCTACACATGTTGGAATTAGTGATGGGGACAAAGAAACAAAATGGTGCTTAGTCCTGGTTTGTGGGTTGTCCACAAATGCTGAACCACTAATTGCCCCCTAGTGACCTGATGAACAACAAATCAATTTGTTCTCCTAGTGACCTGATGAACAACAAATCAGTTTGTCATTTGTTGGTCTTTTTTCTTTCTTTCTCAGGGGCATAGCAAGAGGAGGAGAAGCAGGAACCAAAGCCATCCTGCAGCCGCGGGCTAGGGGATCCCTTTGATCCCTCTTTGATCCCTTCCCTCCTCTTATGCTGTGCGGGCATAGGAAGAGGAGGAAAGGGGATCCAAGCCATCCCCCAGCCCTGGGGGTGGGATTCCTTTCGGGCAGTCTTTAGCAAGTCACCCAAAGGGGAACCCCCTCTCTGCTTATGCTCCCGACAAACAGCATAAGCAGATAGGGAACAAAGGGATGAATATTCGTGGGGTCTCTGGACCCTACGAATACGAAGCAACGAATATCTGATGAATCAGGGATATTTAACGAATATCCTGATTTGTTTTTATATTTGTCCCCTTGTCTAATTGGAATTCCATATTACGTTTTTTTTAAAAATTGATAACAGAACACTTAAACATGGCTATTATATTGTTATAAATAATAATCGTGCACTACCAAGTCAATTCTGAGTTATGGCAATCATTTTCAGTGTTTTCTATGTAGAGAGTACTCAGAAGTGGTTTACCATTCCATTCTTTGGGGGGCATCCTGGAACTGTGTAGCTTTGCCCAAAGCCACATAGATTAACTCTTCTCATGGGAGGCACAGTGGGGAATTGAACTACCAACCTCTGACTCTGCAACCAGATACCTAATGCACTGAGCTATCCAGCCTGCTTTTATAAGGGAGTGTAAATTTACTGTCACCGTAAGCATATCTGATCAAAAAGATGCATGCCTCTGAGGATCACATTTGTTCATCCCAACATGACATTGATTTTAAATAGGAAATTTCTGGGTCCTAACAGAGGTCACGTGACTTCAATTATCTTGATTTAAATTTTAATAATGCAGTTACCTGAGGTACTCTTTTCAGCATGTTTACAGTCCAGAGTATGTAATCAGTCTTCCTTAATAAACCCAAGAGCATATGAAGAGCAGGAGTGCAACACACTCCAGGATCACTCCCCTCGTGAAATACATGGAATATTCAAGGAAGGAAGCAGTATGTTCAGAGAAGATTTCCATTGTCAGATCCAGAGATCTTAGAGAATAAAATATCAGTGAATTAAGTAGGAAATGCTGTTGCCACTACCCACGGAACAAAGGCTTGTTTAAACCTCTCCTAATCCCCTTCCTCATTCACTGCATAGCCACCCTCCCCCGTGGTTCTTATTAGCATATCAAGCATTCTGTTCCAGTTTCACCATTGGTGGGAAGCGGTGGCAACACTATTTGACTGAGCTACACGTTGCTATGGTAACCTTGCTATATGGTTATTTTGTGTCAGCATCTAAACTATATGCAGCTTGAAAAGCTTAATTGGGAACATTCTTTTCTGTATGGCCGGTATAGCATCTTTGAATTTCCCCCTGCGGCCAAGTATGATGCCTGAAGGGTGGGGACCATTTGCAAATTCTGTTGACACCTCCAAAAAAAAGTGTCCATATAGACAAATGTCAGGGGAACGCTTGTGTAAATGTATGTACGCCAGTGTGTGCACATGGTAGGAGCTTTGAAGTCAATTCCAATTTATGGTTATCCAAGGAGGGTTTCTGAGGTGTGTCAGATACGTAAGGAGTGGTTTTATCAATGCCACAGCTCAGTGAGTTTCAATGGCCAAGCAAGGATTTAAACTCAGATGTCTTAAGTCGTGCTCTATTACTATATCCATTACCCCACACTGGGAAAATACTGTATATAACCACAATGGTGGGCAAAGTTCAGTCGAGGGACTGCCCCTCCCCAATAACATATTTCCTAAGCAAAAAAGGTGGTTGCCTTCTGGAAGCCTTTTACATATCACAGCCCTCCCTATAATTTATCACCAAAAATTATTTATTTTCCAAAACTGGAAGGAAATTTGTATTGCTTTCCTGTCTCCCCACCCCACCGCAATATTTCTGATGGTGCATGCATCCCATAGAGCAATGGTCCACAACTGTTTTTGAACCGCGGACTGGTTTAGCATGCGTGCGTGGGCGCAGGGGGGCATCCATGACTGTGTGGTGGGGCATGCATGCATCCATGCATGCGTGGGCAGGGCATCCATGTTGTATGTAGGGGGGCATGCATGCATCCGTGCATGCATGGGCAGGGGCATGCATGTGTCTGTGCATCCGTGGGCGGGGCGTGTGTGCATCTGTACCTATATGTGGGGGGTGTACATATGTGCGGGGAGATCTGAAGGAAAGCTATTAAGTCTTTGGGAGTCTTCGTTAGGCTGGGCATGGCAGAGCATCAGGCTCTTCAGGCTGAAACACACTTATGTCTGCTATGCAAACAGTACTTTGAACAGGGATCATTTACACAATTTAAGTTTATTTATATTACTGCAAGATGATTAAGGACTGTGTGGGAGGATAATGTATGAATAAGTGTTATCTTGTAAGTTGTATTCCAGCCCAAGGAAAAATTGCTCACATGAGAGTTATCATGGGGAATGAATTTCTGAACTGAACTTCTCTTAGCTACACGGTCTGCCATCTAATCCGACTTTCTCATTTTTCTACGTGTCTAACCAAACAACGTATTTGTTGATGTTTTGAAGAATTATACTGGATACTCAAGTGTGTTTTTTTGTAAAAGAGTCAGTAGAAAATTTAGAAGGCTATGTTTATTTTGAAAGCTTAACTGGATAAGTAGGCATTATCTTTCCATCATTGTTTTCTCGCACTACTTCTTAAAACATCCAGAAAGACAGATTCTTCCCATCCCCTTAATTTTGAAAGTACTGTACTCAGCAACTCAGGAGATATATATTTATATAAATATTGGCAGATTGTAAATGTGCTTTCATAGTTGGCCACAGCACTGTTTTAGCTTGCTAATCCTTGGCTCCCATTCATGGTCTAGTCTTCAGTGAGGTGAATTTAAATAAGCCTGGCACTGTCTGGTCAATGTCTTGGCAGAGATGTAAACTGTGTCCTGAGTCAGAACAAATGCTATTCCTGTATAAGCTTCATTTATTGGCTAGCTTACAAGTGCCCCATGAGAGCTGCCCTGGACACAAATAGCCCTGGCCTATGAAAACCAGACAGCACTGACGTACTGATGACACGGTGTCAGAAGTCAATCCTCTTTTGTCCAAGCCTAAGATTTCTGTAATGACAGGCTGCCCCTTCCGTTGCCAGCCCCAGCAATGGAAAAGAAAGCCCATCACTGCTGCTTCAGGAGAGCTGCTCCTTTGTAGCTCACATTAATTCCTTTATGCAGATTCTTAATTGCCTAATGTTTAGAATGGACTCATACGAAGAGCTCTTCTAGATCAAACTGAGCCTATTCAGCTCAGCATTCTGTTCCCAGAGTGGCTGACCAGTTATCTTTGAGAAGCCCATAGCAGGATATAGAGCACAGTAGCGCCCTCCTCCTTGTCCTCCCACTGCAGCAGCAACAGCAAAATTGGAGGAGAGTCTCAGTAGAATGGCCGTCAAAAATCATAAGGGGAGGCCTTTCTTTTGAGGTCCCCACTGTGAC